CCTGTCACCAATCTCTCAGGAGGACCATATCATTCAAGGCAACCTGAGCTGTGTTTCCCCACACAGTCACTCTATTTGGCTGTGAATAAACTATCTTCTTATCTCCTTTAAGCAAAAGTATTTTATGTCCACAACCTCATCTGTTCATTGCTGTGGTAAAATTCTCGACACTAAGAGGTCTCTGAAACAAAAGGACTTGTTGAGCAGCAACAGATGCTATTAGGGAAGAAAGGGGACAAGTTCCAGCAGCCCAGCTTCAAGGCGGAAGCGGTGGGAATGTCTCCCTGGAACCTCACGTGAAGATCTGGGGAGGGAGACAGTGGTTTACACTGAACCTCCGCTGGCCATACATAAGAAGGTAGGACACAAACCCGCCTCAAGGAGAAGCAACTGTGGCCTCTGGCCTGGCTGGGACTGCACCCAGGATGGGGACATGAGGCTTTGACATTTCAAGACTGCAAAGAGCTTGCAGGTTGCCCCTGCCCAACCTGCTTGTTCTCCCCTCCCTCCTGCCCTCTGGCCCTTTGTAATTAAGCTTAGGATGAATTAGAAAGGTTCCTCTCATTTGCTGCAACCCTGTGAAATATTATCGTTCCTAAACTGGGATTCTAACAGATTCTCAGAAACTTCTTTTGCTAAAAAGCACCTGTCTTGACTTAGACCCAGGAATTAACTAAAAGCAGGAGAGCTTGGCAACCTGGCCTCCATTTTGCATCTGTCTCCTTTGCTCTGAGTCTTTCTCCCCTGCAGTCACCTTGGATTCCAGGAAGGGAAGAACTGAGAGACAATACCCTTATGATTAAGTACTCATGCTACTTTCAAGGAAAAGAACAGCAGAGGCTGGCAGGACAGCCCACCCTCCAAATGAGGACAAGTATAGATAATGAAGAGGCTGCACCCTACAACTGGAGTAGTAATCTCATGGGACCTACATGGCTCCCCTGAAGTGATGACAGGTTACAACCTCTCTAGAACCTCTACAGAATCAGAGCTGGTCAACCAGGCCACACTTTGCCTGGGACTGTTTAGCTATGCACACTTTCCCTCTGCCCCAACTCTTCCTCTACTTAAACCTAAAGCTCAGTACTGCATCCCCAAAATTGAAATCTTACTTTGCAGCATGAAGATTTATAAACCTCCTTCCTCTGCCCTTCACCACTACTTGTCTTTTTATTTGGTGTATTGGGGTAAGTAGCAGGACCTAACATGTGAAACCCTGGAGTTGGGCCTGGGATCTAGATCTCAGGTTACAGGGTGGTCCAATATAAACACGAAATGACTTGCTCAAAGAACCAAGTTGGTAAGTTATAAAGTAAAATTATTCTCACTGGTAACCTTATCCATGGAGGAGGGGGAATGTCTGGAACCATCGATAGGACCAAATCCTGTGTAAAAACTTTTTTTCCTCACACACACACACACACACACACCCCTATGATAAAATCTATTTATTTATTTTTGGTCCTGGGGATCACCCAGGGAGGGCCTCATGCATGCTAGGCAAGTGCTCTACTATGGTCTTCACACCCAGCCAGGTTAATTTATAAATAAGGTATAACATGTAGCAAGAGATTAACAGCAGCTAATGATGAAATAGAATGATCAGGGCAAACTGTAATAAGAATTATTTACAACAAATTTTTGGAACTTTCCACTTAATATTTATGATCACAGGTAACTGAAAAGGTGGAGGAGGGGAATGCATGTATGTCAAAAGAAATGTGTGTTGTTCCCCGCCCTGCTTGCACTCTACCCCTGAGCTGCACCCTCAGGACTTTTTAAATTTGAGTCACGTAGGATAGTAGGAAGTGGAAAACAATGTTGTAAAATAGAAGTGATTGTTAGTGATTTTATGGCATTCATTATTTTAATTGCAAGGTGTGAACTTTCGTATAATGGCTCCATCATTACCTACCTATGTGGAAATCTTCACTTAGGTCTTGACAGGTTTTGACACAGCAAATAAGAAGAATAAAGTACAGCACATTGAATTTGCCGGTAATTCCCATCTTTTGCAAGGTGCAAGTTGTTTATATTTTACAGTCAGAGTAAGCACTCAGCTGTTCTTCAGTCATCTTTGGGGTACAGACATGAGCTTTGGCTTCAAATAGACAAATAGACAAAGCAGGGGTCAAAGGTATGCATACACAGTCCCAGTCACAGGTGTGTTTCAGTGGTCTAGTGGGGCCTGGTTGACTGTTATGTCAGTCCTTGTTCATTGAGAGTTCCAGAGAAGTGCTGTCATCACTTGAGGGGAGCAATCTGGTTCCCAAGACATGATTACTCCTGCTCCAGGGTGAGGCCTCATCATGAGGTAATCACCCTCATTTGGAGGGGTGGGGGTCTGTCCTGCAAGACCCCACTGTTCTTGTCATAAACATGTTATCCACCAGTCCTGTCCTTCCTGGAATCCAACATGATTGCAAAGTGACTGCAGAGAGAATGGCTTGGAACGAAACAGACATAAAATGGAGACAGATGTCAAACTTTTCTCCTGCTTTTAGTTAATTCATGAGCCCAAGTGAGGAGCCAGTGCTTCTCAGCAAAAGTAGTTTAAGCACATGTCACAGATATGTAACATACAATGTTATATCTAATAGGTAGATGAAGAGCAACTTTGCAGGATGTTATATGTAAATTTTAATATATCAGGATTTGAAGGCTTATCATTAAGTCCACATTGATCTTAAAAATTACAGATGACAGCCCTCAATATCACCAAGATCACTCCCTCCTTGAATATTGGAACCACCTGGTGTGTGTGTGTGTATGTTGGGGGGGCAGGGCTGGTCACTTCTGCATGGCCCTCACCTGTTTTGGGGGACATAGACCCTGTGTTTGGGAGCTCAGACCCTGTGGGTTGCCTGCCCTCTAGGCTCACAGGCATTTGAAGAATGTGTCCCGCGACCAGACAGGATCCATTTCACAGGAACAACAACCTGCCTCATTGCCTCAGGAATGTGGAACTCCTGTCTTCCAAGATCTCATTTCATTCTAAAACAGCTTTAGCTGCTGGGAAGTTAGTTCTTTATGGTACCCAACCTCACTCTCATTTAAAACTAATTTTGCCAGAGTAAGATGAGTCGAGTCTTCTATTTTGAATAGAGGGCTGGCACGCTACACCTTTATTTAGTAAAAGTGTAGAGGTTCTATAGCAGTCAATTTTCAGGGATCAAATTAGCCAATATGGACAGTTCAGTCTAAAATTAGTAGGTTCTTCCAACAGGGGTTCAGGAAACGAAGGATTCTTTAGCCAAGATTTTTCAGATTCAGAAATGAATTTGTGTGGGTAAGGATTGTTTTTATGACATTGAATTGTATGAAGTACACCTCATGCAAACTAAATAGCATGGCCTCATTGTGTAAAACAGATAAGGGATGAATGACCCACCCCAAAGTCAGAACTTGGGAGAAGTCATCACAGAACCCTGTCATCTCAGCTTCCTTGTCCTGGTGCCTCTCTCCCTCTCCTCTGTGTGCACCAGACAAGCAGGCTGCTGACCCTGTCCTAAGCCACTGTGCTCTTGCACACACAGCTTTGTTCAAGGTAATCTACGCTTTTGGGGTAGCAGGCCTGGCCTTCCTTCAGGCTGCCTGGATTACTGTAATGAATCTGACAGCATCCAAGAGTGGATGTACCCTGAGAGGAAGCCCTGCACCGCCTTGCCTTGCAGGGGAATCACACGCTCCCCGAAGTGTTCTGAGCTGGTTTCATGTTTTTCTTGCAGCATCTTTGGGCTGTGTTTGGATCGTGGCTTTGTTTTGAGTCCTGTTTGTGCTTTGCAATGTGTTTGTTTTGACAGCACTCTGCTCCTGCTTTGTGTGCTGCACTCCCCAGCTGAAGAGCCAGGCCAGACCTATCTGAGTTTACTTGAAAAGGTGTATATGCCATGCATGTTTTCAGTGTTCTTAAATACTTGCCTGAAGAAGTAATTCCTAAATTTAGCTGCTCTGGGTAGCATGTGTCCTGTGGTTTTATTAGATTTTATATGGCTGAGGCTGGTTGGTTCAGAGATCCTTGGGGAAGGGTGGGAAGTGGTGGGTGGCTTCCACGCCTTAGTTTATATTTGGTTAACCCTCTTGGCTCCCCTTCCCAGATTTTGTTCCTGGTGGTTATCCCTTCCCAAGCCCTGGACCAGGTCACCACTTGACTGGCCTCACGCAAATACAGTTCAGGGCCCCTTCTCACTTAAGTTTTGCTGATAGTCACTTCTGGAAAACCACAAAGTGCTCTTGATTGAGGAATCCTGACTACCATTTTTTTAGAGCAGTGAAGTATACCTACGGAAACTCGCAGTCTGGATCCCTTTCTAAATGACACAAATTTGGAGTGAAAATACAAGCAATAAGGAAGCATATCAAGCTTCTCTATTGAAGGTAATCTGCAGGGTGGAAGGGTCTTTTCCAATTTTATCGCATTGTTCCCTTCTGATACTGGGCACAAGTGCTTTTGTGCCTTGGTCTATGTGAATACTAGGAGGCTCACGCCCTTTCTGAAAACGCCCTCAAGGCTACCTGGAGCCTCATCCCCAGGCAGGGTTCGGCCAGGTTCCCGGGGCAGTCATGGCATCCTGCGGAGTTAGTCTGGGTCAACAAGGCCCAGAAAAGGTGCAGATAGGACACCGAGCATCAGGACTCGGGGCTGACGGGCACTGGCACCACGCAGGTGCCATCCGGGCCGGGCCTCCGGGCCCGCCATCTCCTCTCCTCTCGGGGCTGGACACTGACAGCCCTCCCTTTCTTCCTTTGTTTGGACCCCACCATCTACCGTCAATCCATCCACGCCAGAGCAGGCTTCAGAGCAGCAGCAAGTGACCGCTGCCGGTAGGGACGTCACATTCTCTGCGGGCGCCCTGGCCTCCTCCCCGCAGGAGCTGGCCCTCTGTGGCGTCCCCCGCCCAACCCGGTGCAGAGCCTCGGGGTCGGCGAAGCCCCGCCCTGCCCCCTTCCCCGCCCCCGCCCCCGCGCTGCGGGAAGGGCATGCGCACTGCGGGGGGCCCATGTCGCCATGGCGACCCGAGACGGGCCACGCCCACCAGCCTGACGGGGTGGGGGTTGGCGGAGGGTGAAAGGTCTTCGGGTTTGAAGGGTCGCGTGGGGTGAAAGGTTGCCTGGGTGAGGGGTCGGGTTGTCCGGGGGCCACAGGAGGGACTCGGGTGCCCTGGGGGCGGGACTGTGAAGGGAGTGGGGGGCGGATCTCCTCTGGGGGAGGGGAAGGCTGGGGAGTGGGTGCTGGGGGATCGAGGACGTGGTAGGGGACCCTGGGATCGCAGAGGAGCCGGGAGCTGTGGAGTTGCGGAGCCAGGCCCTGGCCTGGGGACCAGGACGGGCTGGGGAGGGGCGGGGCCCGGCCTGGGGACCAGGAGGGGCGGGGCCTGGAGGGGCTGGGGCGGGGCGGGGCCCGGCCTGGGGACCAGGAGGGGCGGGGCCTGGAGGGACTGGGGAGGGGCGGGGCCCGGCCTGGGGGCGGGGCCTGCGGGGAGCTGGGTGGGCGCCCGTCCGGCCCCGCCCGGCCCACGGGCCCGCGTCCTGCAGGAGCCGCAGGCCGGCGTCCGCCCGCAGTCGGGAGCGGCGCGGACAGACGGACGGACGGTTCCACGCGCCAGCCATGTGGAAGCTGAGCCGGAGCCGGGTGCTTCTGGACGAGCCCCCCGAGGAGGAGGACAGCCTGCAGGGTCCGCTGCCCACGACCGCCGCCGCCCCGGCGCAGGTGAGTGGCCCCCAGGTGAGGGGAGGACAGGGCGCTGCGGCCGCTTGGGAGCCCGAGCCGGTCCCGGACTTGCGACGCGCGTGCGGGCCGCTCTGGGTCGGACTGGGCCCGGGTCCTCTGTTCCCCGGCCCCCCCGGGGGCCTTCCGATCATTTCGCTTCTAAGTCGGACACCAGGGCCCGGGCAGCTCCTAAGCCGGACCCCGAGACCAGAGGCGTCCATTCCCGGCGGGAAGCTCCGCGAAGCCCTGAATCATGGTGTCCCGTACCGCGTTCGTCCAGGCTAATGAGCAGTGGTGACCCCAGCAAAATGTCCACGGGCTGCCTAAGTATTTGCACAACACCTATCCCCTCCTTAAATCTTTGATTTTCTGGAGGAAGAGGAAGAAGGCAGAGACCTTGATCAGAAAACTGAAAGGCATTGGCTGGACAAGAGCAGAGGTATGTTTGGAATGTCTAGAATTTTTTAATTAAAAAGAATCCCAGGTGGATCCTGCGTGCAGACATACCTTCCCCTCCAGCGCTCCCTTTCATGTGCAGTGAAATTTAGGTTGCAAACCCAGCCCCCACCCCGCCCCTTTTTTTAGAGGAGCGTACAGTTCCTTCTTGAGCTGAATTTTTGGGGAGTATTAGGATCAGCGTCTTTCTTCTGAGAACTTGGAAATAGTTGTGATTGTTTCTCCCCCTGTTGGAGCAAAGGATCTTCTCTTAAGAATTGAAACTGTTTCTCCTCAAGACACTTCTTGTTGGAGCTGGGGTCATTCCCCAGGCACAGAAATTTTGGAGTTGGTTATCTTAAGCATTTATGTATGGTTACTTCTGAATTTGTATTTCAGTAGTGACTTTTTTTGATAGTGTTAGTGCTTACCTACTTTTTATATTTTAAGTCACAAAATTTTTTAGTTATCCTAAGTAGATGTTTTTTAAATGTAGTAATGAGAACTTGTGTTTGCAGAGTTAACTGAAAGTGTACCTAATGTTGGCTGAGACGAATTGTTTCCAGGTTAACTATTGAGCATTTAAATAGATCTCTCATGTGTTCTCTCATTTCTCCTCTAACGCCCCTCCCCTCTTTTCCTGTAAGTTTTCTTTCTGAAAAGTTTCTGACATCCTGAAAAGTTGCACACCCCCAGACCCTTCACCTAGATTCAGGCATTAGCCACACATTAATTACAGTTCTTTTTCTGATCTTCTGTTTACAAAATTGTCATCTATGCTTTTTTCATGTGTGGGTTTAAAACTTTTATTTTAATAGACTTTATTTTTTGGGTATCCAGTTTTAGATACTAAGGAAAGTTGAGAGGAAAGTACAGACACTTCCCATATTCTCCCTCTAGCCTCTCCACTGTCAATAACCCCACAGCACAAAACCTTTATTATAGTGGAGGAACCTACTACATACCACATCTGTATCACCACCCAAAGTCCACATGAGGCTTCACTCTTGGTGTGTGCTTTCTATGAGTTTCGATAAATGGATAATGACATGTGTCCATCATTAGGAATCATACAGACCAGTTTTGATGCCCTAAAAACTCCTCCACCTTTTCATCCCTCCGTCCCTCCAATTCCTGGCAGCCACTCATCTTTTTCTTGTCTTCAGTTTTGCCTTTGTCAGAGTGTCAAAGTGTAGTGTAGTCGGTAAGTTCAGTGCCATTCTCAACTCAGAAACTGGAGTTGATTATCTTTAAGAAATTACTTTTTTTTTTTAATTAAAAAAATTATCATCTTTACCTTTACTCATACGTGTAAACATTGTTTGGGCCACCTCCTTCCCTGCCCCCCACGAGAAATTACTTTTTGATGGTATAAATAGATATTTTCAGCCAATGATAAGTATTTAAGATTCCTTTGTCTTTTCCTGCATTTTCAGTGCTGAGTAGTATGCCACTTGTCAGAATGGACCACAGTTTGTTTATCCGGTCAGTTTCTAGAGGATATCTTGGTTGCTTCCAAGTTTTGACAATGTGAGGGAAGCTGCTGTAAACATCCAGTGTGAGCTTTTGTGTGGACATAAGTTTTCAGCTCACTTGGGTAGATAACAAGGATGTGCTCACTGGATTGTATGTCATTAGCTTTGTAAGAAACCCCAAACTGTCTTCCAGCATTTCCTGTCCCACCACCCATGGGTGAGGGCTCTCTTTGCTCTATGTCCCCTCCAGCACTTGGTGTCTGGGTTTCAGCTATCCTGATAGATGTGGCATAGTACCTCACTGTTGTTTTAATTCGCCTCTCCTCCATAAGATGGGAAGCTTATGTTCACATGGTCACTTGCCTCCTGAAGTAAGGTATCTTAAAGGTTTTGCCCCTTTTTAATTTGATGTGTTATTGCTCAGTTTTCAGAGTTCTTTATATATTTTGGATATTGTTCTTTTATCAGAGTGTCTGTGGCTTGTTTTCTAATTCTTTTATCAGTGTCTTTTGCAGAGCAGAAGTTTTTAATTTCAACAAAATCCCAGTTATCAGTTACTGCTTTCGAAGATCATGCTTGCAGTGATGTATTCAAACCCACGGTCATGTGGGTTTTCTCTTATTGTCTTCTAATAGTGAGTTTTGACTGTGATTTTTGTTACTTTATTAAGGATGGATATATATTTGATGTGTTCAAAACACTTGCTATAGAAAAAGAGAGAGCCTGTTGGCTTGATGGCACATGCCTATGATCCCTACACTCCAGAGGGTGAGGCAGGAGGATTGCAAGTTTGAAGCCAGCTTGGGCTGCATAACAAAACCCTATCTCAGAAAAAAAAAAATCGCCATGTGTGGTAGCTCAAGCTTGTAATCCTAGCTACTTAGGAGGTGGAGATTGAGATTGATGTTCAAAACCAGCCCAGTCAAAAATTTAGTGAGACCCCATCTCATCCAATAAGCCAGACATTTTTGTTCACGTTTGTGATCCCAGCCATAGCTAGGAGGATTATGGTGTGAGGCTGGACCCAGGCAAAAACAGGAGACTGTACTTGAAAAACAAAGGAAAAAAAAAGTCTGGGGGCATAGCTCAAGTTGTAGAGCTCCTGCCTAGCAAGAGCAAGGTCTATTACCTCCTCTCACTCAGTCCCGCCCCCACTCCCTCCCCCCCACAAAAGAAAGAAAATTGGAAATATTTGTTAATTGTGACAGGTTCCCATTTCTTCAAGAACATTGATCTTTATACCAAACCTAACTTCTCTTAGAATTAAATTTTAAAATTTATGACAAGTCTACTATAAAACTGCTGCCTACAAAATTTTATTTAAAGTTGAGAGAAGAATCATTCAATGAGTGTTACATTTACTGTTATATTAGAAAGAAGTTCTCGAATCTGTTTCATTTGCAGCCTTCTGCCTTCCACCTCTGAACAGTGAGCCAGTGTTCGGAGTGTTGGCTCTAGAAAGGTTCACTGCATTCTCATACCATGCTGTCCACTTCCTTGAAAATCAGACCATTCACCTATCATTGTTTTAATTTTTTTTTAAAGAAAAAGTAGTTTAGTATTGAGTTCCAATAAGTTTGAAATGTGAGGGTGCTCAGAGTCACTCTGTGATTCAGGGACACATGACTGTTCCCAAAGCAGTTTTAACGTTGTAGAGTGAATTTCCCTGCTTCTCTTTAGACCATTGCTTATTTGGTTGTAAATATAGATCTACTTTATATTCAAATATAATAGTGTGGTTTATAAGGAGAGCCACTCACAATAATCAGCCAACAATGAGAGACAAGTTTTAATGTGTATAATGTTTACTTTAAAACATAAAGTTGCTAGATGGGTGTGGTGTAATCCTAGCTACTCCTGAGGCAGAGGCAGGAGGATCTCGTTTGAGGCTAGCCAGCAGACCCTGTCTCAAAAAACAACAAAAAACCCCACAGGGCTGGGAGTCAAGTGGTACAAAGCTTGCCTAGTAAGTGGGAGAACCTTGGGTTTAGTTAAGTTGCTAATGCATATGGTAAAAAAATTCTGGATGCTAAATGTGAGGCCATCACCTCTTCCCCTGTCCTAGGGGATAGGTTGTTACTTTTTCTTGTATGTCCATAGAACTTTTATGCAGATACATAATAGAGACATTTTTCTGTACCATATATTGTTCCCTCAATAACATGTCTCACGGAGCACTTCCTGCCCTAGCATTACCAGATAAGAATGACTGGTATTAAATGTTATTAAATGCATATGTCAAAATTTATTTGAGTCTCAAGGATTTTGAGGTTGCTAAGCCATTTCTTAAAATAGTGGCAAAACAAATGGAGAAGTACCCAACATTGACTACACAGCTCAGACAGGCATTTTTGCCTCTGAGCTGACTGCATAGGGATTTAGCTACCTTTAAATTAATGGCTTTACAAACAAACTGGGGAGCTTTGGATCCCCTTGTAGTATTAGTGTATGCTAATAAAAAAATAACCAGACCAAATAAAAAATCTTCATAAAAAGTCAGAAAAACAGAACTTTTCAAAGGCCTAGACATACTTTATAGGCATGGTAAAAAATAAATAACAAAAATAGGGACTATTTCAGGTATTTTAAAATCAGACCTGGGAAGAGCAAGGGGCTATATTATTGCATACACCATCCTTTCTAGGGGCTGCATGGCTGGGCTGAAGTTGCTTTTTGCTGGTGTGTGCTTGGGACCGGAGGGAGTTGTAAACTAGGAAGTCAGTGGTCTTTTGAAGGGATGGTACAGTGGGAAGAGCCAGACCTTTATGGTAGGATGTGCCTTTGTCCTCCCTGCAGTTCCACCTCTAGCTAACGTTTTGTTAATGTTTTACATGAGTTCTTTCCAAAAACAGAAGCAAATATGCACCTTTGCTGTGCAGAAACCAGCATGCTGGATATTCTTCAGGTGGTTCCTTCCACACAGCAGTGAGTTGTAGGTCTGTCCTTGTCAACACACAGCTTCCGCATTCTTGCATGTGTATTTGTGTGTGTTTAGGTGTCGTCTTAGTCCATTGGGGTGACTGTAACAAAAGTGTGATAAGCTGATGGTTTTATACAACAAACATTTATTTCTCAGAGTTCTGGAGGCTA